GATAAATGAGTCGAACGCGAAATTTCAAGCCATCGCCGCATCAATTAAAACCCAAGCGGTGGCTACAGGATTAGATAATTATAAAAGGCATGCGGAGGGCCGCTACGAATTACAAATACCGTGCAAGCATGCCTGTTTCACCCATATCTTCGCATGAGTCAGACCAACCTACCATTATCTATGATTAAGGACTCCCGACGGAATCCGAAACCTCAGGAAAATAAAGCGTTTGTTCCAGTGGTCACTTTTTCTTCTGCTTTCCGGAACTCACCTATTCACTTCGTTTGGCAGAAATATCATTGTTAGCTCACATTATATACGCTTAACCCCAGTGTTGTGTCTTACGAGGCTGGGTGGGCAAATTGGAAAATGGGCAAAAGGCTAATGGTGATTACGGAATAGAAATGAATGGCAGCTCACATGAGCTTTAGGCTATAGTTTCAAGACTATGGCACTATTGTGACAGTAGTCGTTTCGTTGGGACCACAAGAAAACAGTGATCACGATTATGTAGTTTACGATTCTTAATAGTCGAAAATATGCGAGACCCAAGAAATTGATAACAGGGAAGGCGTTCCCTGAGACCAGTTTTTTATTTGCCCAACGTGTCGAACTGCCATGCCAACCCATTGTCAAGACATAAAAGAGCGTACAGCTCACTGCATATTTAGCTTAATTCTGCCATGAGTGACCATGAGCTCTGCCATCGATTTGTACGCGCAAAGCCAGACAGACATCCAGAAGATCAATGTGCCTTTTAAAAGAATCCGCACGTGAATGTCATGCTTCCTGCAGCAGGCGTGACTTTCGGCCGTTTGACTTGCTAGGTAAGTATAGTTACCTACTTATTTCATTATAGATAATCCATAACCTTACCTTAAAACCTAAACTTATCCCCAACCTTTGCCCTAACGCCTACCCTTAACCCAACCCTAACCGAAAGAAACAAGCCTTGGAGTAAGCATATATCAGATGTGCTATCAATGACACCTCTTCCTAAACGTCCTTCAGAACTGTTGCGTTGTAAAAGGACAACCCTATTCTGCGCGATGTTATCTCTTGACAATCAATCTACTCCAAAATCGCAACAATGTTAGTGCTATTTACTGGATAAAATAAACAG